GGGAAGAATTTAATTTGAACTTTATTTAGATTTAAGTCAACTCATTTAAAGATAATAACTTGAGTTGAATGCTCAAGAAAATTTCAATTAAAACCCAAATGTGGATGAACTCCAATTTTGAACTAAAGCTTGATAAACTTTTGGTTAGTATATATAAATATGTGTTTTATAATAATAAGAAAAAATTAATTTATTCATGAGCTCTTAATCCAAATATCTCAAATCCTGATTTAATAAAAAATTTACCATTCTTTATTTAAAAATCTTAACTCATGTAGTTCGTGTGTGTGCGTTCACCAAATACACCATAAATATTTCAATGCAAATTGGATGATGCCCATTAAAAATGAATCAAAATAACTAACGTACGAGGAGAAGAAGAACTATATAAAATACATATTTACTAGATAATTATAAGTATATACATGTTTTTTTTTTAAAAAAAAAAATTATATTAAAAATTTAATATGTTGTAATTATTTTAATTAAAATAATTTAACTATTATATAATATTTATTTTATTAAAAATATAATAAATTCCCTAAATGTTTTTTTTTTCATTGTTAAATGCATTACAATATGTCATTAGATATACATTTGCATGACAACAGACAAATAGAAGTCAAGCATTAAAGTTCTCCTAATTAATAATTTCCTTATGTACGTGTATATTATATATATATTTAAATATATATTGTAGTTAATTAATTTCTAATACAAATTAAAATAATAAAATAATTTATATAATAACAAACTATCTCATAACAAAATGATGACACTTGAGCTTTTTTTTTTTTTTTTTTTTTTTTATGAGTGTGTGGGTTGAAATTTAATTACATATTTTGCGAGTGTCATTACTACAAAGTCGTGATATTGTAAGTTGATTTATTTTTAGCTTGCAAGTGTTAATTATTTATTTATATTAATATTTAATAAAGATTAATTAATATAATAAGTCGCATCTATTTATTTTGTTAGATCATATGCTCTACTTTCTGTATATTAATCTTTTTTTTTTTCTGAAATGTATAATATGGATAGATCGAGCCCGCATCCCGAAGATGCTTTTGTCATGAAGTGGTAGATAAACTCTCATGCTTATATATATATATATATATATATATATAATATGAACTTGCCTGACATATACGTGTAGATCCAGCAAAAAAACGCTCAACATGACTCTACTGCTAAATCACAAGAACCACCCTCAACATCTCTCTCCAAACCATTCAGCCACCATGTTTGGGCGGCCGGCTAGCCGGAGAGTCGTCCCTTTACGCCGGCGTAAGCTGCCGGCGATTCGCCTGGGTGGGAAACAGGGATTTTTCTTGAAGAAGATGGTGAAGAAGATGAGAGTTAGATGGGTGAAATTGCAGTATATGCGTGTGTTAAAGAAGCTGAAAGAATATTATGAGAAGATGGTTAAGGATATCATCAAAGCAGGAGAAAGTTTAGAAGGTGATTTCCAGAAGAGGATTTTTGCAGAGGCAACCTTTGCTCTTCCAGTTATGGGGGTTTCTTTTCACCTCTAGATTTCCTTTAATGGCTGGATCAGATCATCATCGTACTGTAAACTTCTTCCTTGTTAACTTTTTTTTCCCCAGTTTCATAATTATTATATACATATATTATATCTTTATGTTGCCTTCTCTTTCTGATCTTATATATGATTTTCTTTTTGCGTTATATTTAGTGAGGGAGTATGTATAATTCATATTAATTTAGGAGAAAATTTATAGAATATTTCTTTCAAGTATTGTTAAAATGAATTAATATCATTTTCTTCGGGATTACGGAATGGGATTGTTACTGCCATCATGTCTACATATATACCGTGTATGTACATGTAGATTAAAAATTATATAGGTTGTATATCTAATAATCTACCTTGAAACATCTCACATATATAGAAAGA